TGGGGTTAAACTCCCCTTGTGCCCACTACTCCTATGTATTCATGCAGAGAGCAGGGGGTGGGGGGTGGCATGGTGATCGCTTGTGGATGCTGGGGAGATGGGCATTGTGTTAAATCTTATTTGCAAGCATTTGAACAAGGAAATGACGGCTAATTATACAGTGTGGAGCTAATTCTGCTAAAGCATGCAATGCTGTGTACGGATCCTGCTAAAGTGCTGTGTTGATTCATCCATGCTGTTGTCTGATTGCTCTGTAACCCTTGCCGTGTCAGGAGTGGCATGCATGTCACTGGCACCCAAGGATCGAAGGGGTTAAACACATGCTCCTTTGTGCTGCGAGCTTCCTTTTCAGCATTTGCACCCCTAGGACATTATTTACTGACTGCCAAAGAAGAAGGGGGGAGGGAAGGGATCCCCAGTGAGTCTTACAGGTGCATGCTAGATGTCTCTTGGTCCTTATTAACCTCCTGTGCACCGGCCAAGGATAACAATGAATTGCCAATGGAGGCTTTGTGAGCACCATGTGACTGATGAATGTGTTCTACTAAGTGGATGCAGCCCTGAGCTGAGCCTCTTCTGCGGGCTGTTGGGGGGCCCAGGCACTTGGCAGCTACACAGTGCCTGCTAGCAGCTTCCCACACCTGCCAATCACACCTTCATTTTTACTGGCCGCAGAGCCCTTCTGGCCCATGGATCACACAGGGGTAGATGAGGTTTTCTTTACCGAAAGCTGAAATCCAAGACGGCTTGATCATCATTAAGAATGTATGAACCGTGTGAACTTGAAACGTCTGGCTGTTTTATCTTTTGACGCGGTGCCCATCTAGGAGTCTGCCAGGTCTTAAATTGGTCATTGCCTAATCTGACTTATGGCACCTGTTTGACAAGTGTATCAGTGTCTATATGATGTGTCCTTTTCAGTTTATGTTGGAGTGCATTCAGGGCTCATGCACATGGTCGTAATGAATAAACTGATATCTACGCCGGCACCAAGATCCTGAGTAGGAAACGCATTTGATGGTCAGTAAAGTGCTTCTGTTCAAATGCGTAGATGCGTCATGCATAGGCGCATATGTCCTGCATAGACGCATAAATGTACCTGCAAAACTCTTCATCCATTCCTCTAGCTCCAATTTACTGACCATGGATTTATATTTTTCTTATTTGATTTTATGGATCATCATGGAGCGCAATTTAATTGATTAGCTGTGTGCTTGGGCCCATAGCATGCAATACTGCTGCGTTCAGATCCGTACAAAACGATACGATTAACCGATCTGTATGCAGCTCACTTTAACTTATTAGCTGTGTGCTTGGGCCCACAGCATGCAATACTACTGCGTTCAGATCCATATAAAACAATACGATTAACCGATCTGAACGCAGCACGCTTGAACTGATTAGCTGTGTGCTTGGGCCCATAGCATGCAATACTACTGCGTTCAGATCAGTATAAAACGATACGATTTACCTAACTGAACGCGGCTCACTTGAACTGATTAGCTGTGTGCTCACTTGAACTGATTAGCTGTGTGCTCAGGCCCATAGCATGCAATGTTACTGCGTTCAGATCCGTATAAAACGATACGATTTACCTAACTGAACGCAGCACACTTGAACTGATTAGCTGTGTGCTTGGGCCCATAGCATGCAATGTTACTGCGTTCAGATCCGTATAAAACGATACGATTTACCTAACTGAACGCAGCTCACTTGAACTGATTAGCTGTGTGCTTGGGCCCACAGCATGCAATACTACTGCGTTCAGATCCATATAAAACAATACGATTAACCGATCTGAACGCAGCACGCTTGAACTGATTAGCTGTGTGCTTGGGCCCATAGCATGCAATGTTACTGCGTTCAGATCCGTATAAAACGATACGATTAACCGATCTGAACGCAGCTCACATGAACTGATTAGCTGTGTGTTGCCTTGGGCTCATAGCATGCAATACTACTGCGTTCAGATCCGTATAAAACGATACGATTTACCTAACTGAACGCAGCACACTTGAACTGATTAGCTGTGTGCTCAGGCCTATAGCATGCAATGTTACTGCGTTCAGATCTGTATAAAACGATACGATTTACCTAACTGAACGCAGCGCACTTGAACGGATTACCTGTGTGCTTGGGCCCACAGCATGCAATGTTACTGCGTTCAGATCCGTATAAAACAATACGATTACCCAATCTGAACGCAGCTCACTTGAACTGATTAGCTGTGTGCTTGGGCCCATAGCATGCAATATACTACTGCGTTCAGATACGTATAAAACGATACAATTTTACCTATCTGAACGCAGCGCACTTGAATTGATTAGCTGTGTGCTTGGGCCCATAGCATGCAATGTTACTGCGTTCAGATCCGTATAAAACGATACGATTTACCTAACTGAACGCAGCTCACTTGAACTGATTAGCTGTGTGCTTGGGCCCACAGCATGCAATACTACTGCGTTCAGATCCGTACAAACCAATACAATTAACCGATCTGAACGCAGCGCACTTGAACTGATTAGCTGTGTGCTCGGGCCCATAGCATGCAATACTACTGCGTTCAGATCCCTATAAAACGATGCAATTTATGGATCTGAATACAGTGTTTTTTTTACGTTCCATGTGCATGAGTCCTTGTATACCATATGAGTGCCTATCTGTGTTGCTTCCTGTGTAATCATTGAGCTCTTTTCTTTTCTTTTCTTGTTTTGGCAAATAAAATGTTACGTCACTGTCATTGTTAAGGACTGTAAAAATAATTATGAGTCAACTAAAGTGTGTTATTTACTGCTTTGTTTCAGCCATTTGCATCTTTTAGCTTGATTGGTACAATACAGAATAATACCTATTTAGATATGTATGGTGAACTTTGTACACAAGTGAATGCGATACATGAGACTCGCGTCACAAAAGCTTTACACAGAATTAGGATCTTTATTTCAGTCATGTGACATACGTTTTAATTCTTACAGGACCTCACTAAAAATAACTGTCACAAAATAAGGATCCTTAGGCTGCTGGTGAGCTTTGGGAATTGAGCCCGTTGCACGTTGTTTCTTTTGTTGTTTATCGGACTGAGAATGTTTTTAATAACTCACTCAGAATAGGTCATGTTTCTAAAAAGGTGAATAAAATAAATCCAGAGAATGGTGCCGTTTATTGCAATGATCCTATGTCTGTATAACTAATGCTGGTGAAGTGACCGTTTGTGTATGATTGGTTGCTGTGGGCAACACCTGCACTTTCCTCTACAGGTGAAACTCGAATAATTAGAATATCGTGCAAAAGTAATTGCAGTAAGTGCTGCAAAAGGGGCCCAAACCAAGTACTGAGTACATATGCATGCTTGTACTTTTCAGAGGTCCGATATTGTTCTATGTGCAATCCTTGTTTTATTGATTGCATGTAATATTCTCATTTTCTGAGATTGTGGCTTTGGGGTTCTTGGGGTTTCCATGAGCTGTAAGCCATAATCATCACAATTATGACAAATCACGGCTTGAACTATCTTGCTTTGTATGTAATGAGTCTATCTCATATATTAGTTTCACCTTTTAAGTTGCATTAGTGAAATAAATGAACTTTGCACGATATTCTAATTATTCGAGTTTCACCTGTATAGTCGGGCCCCAGGGTTCATCTCACAAGAGCATAGGGCTTTACAAATTGATAATCGAATCAGGAGAATTGCTGATTTAGGAATATCTGATTTGGTTGCGTTGTCCTATACGGATCTGCCTGTTCTCTGGAATGAAGGAACCCTGGCAATCATGATTTAATAAATTTTCAGGCAAAATCAACTCATTTTCTTTCCCATATTCAGTAGATTCAACCAGTAACTTGGCATCGCTACTACATACAGGACCAAGATGTGAAAGTGGAATTGAACTCAAAAAAAGTGTAAGATGTACGGTTATAAGGAACATTTGGGATTTTAGAGCAGAACTCCAGGTATACGCACAGAGCCATTGCGGGCACGGGTGCCTCCATTAGAACGATGGTGGCACCTGCACAGGGGATGGGGGAAGAATGCTGGGGGGACCCACTTGAAAACGAGGAATGAAAAGATTTTAAAGAAAAACAATAG